CATGCTTAGTGTGAGGGATTGCTGAAGAGTCAATGAGTCGATGCAATCAGCTGGTTTTCCTTAGATAGAAAACTTTGAATCAATGTGACTGTATGATCTGGTTGGGTTTTGAGATGACATGTGTTGTGAATTGGCGCTATAGAAATAAACTGAGTAGAACTGAATTACTTTAATTTTATGATTATTGCCAAATCTGACAGTTTCACTGACTTTTTACTGTGCAGATAATAAATTCACCTAAAAACTTAAGTAGAGCATCTCTCCATCCTAAAACTAAGAAACCTTTAAAGGACTTTAATCGTGTTCGTTTATGGAAGTTTCTTGAGTTTAATAAAAAGCAGGACATCTTTTATATATTCAGTAAATATTACTGTGGGAGAAAAAACCTACAGGTTTGTTTTTCTTTAATATTTGGTGGTTTATTCGTTTTGTTCTGATACAGGAGAGGGTGTGCCCCCGCTGCTGACTCATATGCTACATGCACGGAGATTTGGAGTGAAATCACTTGGAGCAGCTCTCTGCTGCGCACGCACTCAGGGTTCACTTGACACCAACCGCTGGTTTTGAGCGCAGCTATAAAGCTCAGCAGCTGGAGAGGATCGTGTGTAGAGTGGAGCCAGTGGAAGATGGGCGAGAAGCTGGACAGAGGCGCGTTTGCAGAAGTTTAGTCAGGACGCGCGACTTGGAGCGAGCGCGGTGCCATCCCGCGCAGACGCGCCGCAGAAATGGCCGGGGCTGCGCTTTTACCGCTCTTCACTCAATTTCTACTTTATTTGACATTAACATCGTGCATGGAGGTGGATTTCTGCACACCTGTCCGCCTTGACCAGCAGATGCGTGGGCAGCGTGTTGTGTTCAGGCTGAATGCATTCAGACAGGAGTTCTTCCTGCGCCTCAGGCCGGATTCTAGTTTCCTCGCAGCAGGCAGCGGATCTGCAGCATCCAACGCTTCAGCTGACCTCAGGAGATGCTTCTACTCCGGTGATGTAAACGCAGACCCGGACTCCTTTGCAGCAGTCAGCCTGTGCCGGGGTCTGCGGGGGGGCTTCTCCTATAAAGGCATGGAGTATTTCATCACCACAAGCCCTGCAGCTGCGTCTGCTTATGGAAACTTTTTGGAAACATCTCACATGATCAGCCGCCGGGGGGTCGCGGTGCATTCAGGGGCCAACCTCACCAGCAGGTGTGGAGTCAGCCCGGAAACCAACTTCAGCGTTTCTCTGGACAAATACAAACACCTGAGTGAGCTGGACGCTGATTGGTTGACAGAAGGCGTCCTTAAATCCCTGGGGAGGTCCAAGAGGTTCGCCTCTATCCCCAGGTTTGTGGAGGTGCTTGTAGTGGCGGATCAGTCCATGGCTGCATTCCACGGGGATGACCTCAAGCATTACCTTCTGACCCTGATGTCAGTAGCTGCCAGGCTATACAAGCACCCCAGCATACTGAACTCCATAAACATTGTGGTGGTTGGCTTCATGGTGATAAATGAAGCTGACAAGGGACCAAAGATTTCCAGCAATGCTGCTCTGACGCTGCGCAACTTCTGCTCCTGGCAGAAGAAGTTAAATAAAGTCAGTGATAAGCACCCGGAGTACTGGGACACTGCCATCCTGTTCACCAAGCAGGTAGGTACCAGACAGGTGGGCCCAGTTTTAACCAACCATTCAGGTGTTACATTTAACACTCCACTATTT